TACAACCGCGAACAGCACATGTTGTCCCTGAGCTCCGTAACGACATCTCTCATAAAGATTTGCGTCTTTAAATAGTAAAATAATTCTCAGAAAAACAGCTAGCCTCTTCGCTAACTAACACACAAAATACCATTGGAATGCTACTTCCGCCGCGTCACCGGAAGTTTCACCCACTTTATTTTTTACAGGAGCGCCCCTCGGAAACTTGTGGATAAGATGAGAGATTTTAATTCCTGGGAGTTCCTGTTCATTCGTCATGTCCATCAAATTTCCTCTCCCAATGTACTTTCTGTAACTACTTGGTAAGGTATTGACAATCTCCTCCATCAACTTTTGTGTCAAACGTGAGGATCTCAAGCCAGTCAATTCTTTAAGTTCCTCCAACGACTTCCATCCATCTCCATTCAAGAGGTGTCCCAGCTTGACAATTCCATTTCTCTGCAAGCATGAACTTACACTCACAGAAGACAAAAGTCTTGTTTGAGTCATTGGATTAAAACATAAAGGTTCCTCTAGAACCCAGTTCCCAGGTTCATCAACCTCTCTTTCAAATTTAAAAACAGTTCTCCATGAATGCAAAAGTGTCCGGTAAAAATGCGAAAGCTCAGACATGTTTATCCTCTCCAGGTTCATTAAAAATAAATGCTTGTCTAATCCAAGACCCCCAGTTTTTTGAAGAAATGCCTTCGCAGTCTGAGACCAAACCAAATCCTTATGGTAGAGAAATCTCTGTGCTGCTTGGATTCTGAAGGCACAGATTCTGCTCCTCACATCCACCAGACCTTGGCCTCCTTCTTGAACTGGAAGGTAAAGTGCTGCTGCGCGAATCCAGTGTTCTCCACTCCAGAAGAAATTCACAAAAGTCCTTTGTATCCTGCAGATCAACTCATCAGGTGGCTCCAGTACCATGAGTCTATGCCACAAGATAGATGCAGCCAGGTTGTTTACCACCAGAACTCTTCCTCTGTACGACAATTGTGGTAATAGACATTTCCATTTAGACAACCTATAGCATTCACTTTTTCCAGCATTCCCTCACAATTCTTCCCTTTAAATGTTGCATTTCCTAAAAAAACACCTAAAATTTTCAACCCTTCCCTTACCCACAGCAATCCACCCGGTAATTTTGGAGGTCCCAACACTCCCCACTGGCCAATAATAAGCCCTTCACTTTTCCCCCAGTTCATTTTTGCTGAAGATGCCCTCTCATATTTTTGAATAATTTCTGTTAAAATATCAACATCATTTTGACTTGTGATAAAGACTGTGATATCGTCCTCATAAGCAGACAATGACACCCTACTACCATTAATACCAGGAAGTAAAATTCCATTCAGTTCTCTCCTTATCCTACACAACAATGGCTCAATGGCGAGACTGTACAATTGTCCAGAAAGAGGGCAACCCTGCCTAATACCCCTTGATACCGGTATTGGTGCACTTAGTCCTCCACCAGCTTTAACCATCACAAAAACATTTGAATATAACAACTTAATATAAAATTTAAAATTATCTCCAAATCCAAATTGTTTTAAATCTTTAAGAAGATACACATGGTCAACCCGATCGAATGCTTTCTCTTGGTCCAAACAAAGAATACCCAGGTTTAAATTGTTAATTTGGTTAAAATCAATTACATCCCTTAATAAAAATAGATTATCCATAATTGACCTTTTGGGAATACAATATGTCTGATCATTTCGAATCAGTAACTCCAAATAACATTTTAACCTATTTGCTAGACACTTTGACAGTATTTTGTAGTCCAAACACAATAGAGAAACTGGTCTCCAATTCTTTAAAAGACCTAGATTTCCTTTTTTGGGAAGCAAAGACAGTACAGCTCTCCGGCAGCTTACAGGAAGAGTTCAGCTTCTGATGCTTTGAATTAGTACTTCATACAGATCTTGTCCTAATATATTCCAAAAAGCTTGGTAAAACTCAACTGGCAGTCCATCAATTCCCGGAGAACGTCCTCTTGATAACTGTTTCATTGCTTCTGTAATCTCCTGAAAGGTTATTTGACTATCTAGTGATCTTCTCCCCTCATCTTCCATCTGAGGTAAATCAGCAAATCAGCAGCACTCTCAACATCACAGCTCTCAGCATCATACAGTTTTTTGTAAAAGTCAACAGCCAGCTTCTTTATTTCCACCGGATCTGACGTTATAGTCCCATCAGCCCGTTGAAGATGATATAATTGTTTTTGTAGGGAGCTTTTTTTTCAAGGTTAAAAAAGAATGAAGTAGGAGCATCCATGTCTTTAATAGAACACATTCTCGCCCTTACGATTGCTCCTTTCACTTGTTCCTGTAATAACGAGCCAAGTTCTTTCTTTTTCTTATTTAACAGCTCATTCTGCTCAGGTTCATTGTTATTAAAAATAGTACTTTCCATTTTTTGAATGTCTTTCTCCAAGCTTTTTACTGCAAACTTCACTCTTGCTGTATTATGTGAACTATAATTTTGACAAAATATTCTTACTTGTACTTTGCCAACATCCCACCACTGACACATGTTTTCAAAAGAAACTTTCTGCATTTTCCATTTATTCCAGAATAATTTAAAACTATCACAAAATAAAGCATCTTCTAATAATTTAACATTAAAGTGCCAAAAATAACTTGGCTTTGTAGTTGCCTTCATGTTTAAATCAAATAAAACCAAGTGGTGATCTGAAAACCCAAAAGGTAAAATAACAGTATTCATCACCTTATTATTCCATCCTTTATCAATATAAAATCTGTCAAGTTTTTTTCTGAACATTCTCCGATGTTTTTTTGACCCATGTATATTGTCTGATTCCTATATTTCTTTTCCTCCAAATATCAATTAAATTAAGCTCTTTTATAATTTTTAATAATACCACACTAGACTCATAATGAGGTTCCTCCCCATTCCTATCAATTGTAAAATCGACCGTACAATTCCAGTCCCCTCCAATGATAACACACACTTGATCTCCAATTTTTTGAACAGCATTTTTTAGTTTCATGAAAACCTCCACCCGCTCAGGCCCAATTTTTGGTGCATAAACATTTATAAGCACAAACACAGTTCCCTTAAATTCTAAATGCATTAATAATACTCTTCCCTTTACAATTTCATCTACATCTAAAACATTCACATTTATATTTTTTTGAGAACAAGATGGCTACACCAGAACTCAAATTTGTCCCATGGCTTAGCACACATTTCCCTTCCCACCATCTATCCCATTCCGACTCATTATCTGTATTGGAATGTGTCTCTTGTAAAAAAATAATATCCACCTCCTTAATTCTACATAATTCTGACACCATTGCCATCTTATTTCCATCCCTCCCCCCATTTATATTTAAGGAGCCTGCTCTCAAAAACTCCATAAAAAGGGAAAGATGTAAAAGGGACAGAAATAGAGTGAGAAAGCAGATAGCCAACTGTTATGGTAAGGGTGGCGGATGAACCCAGAAGCAGACGGTGTGCAATCACAGATAGTTTATTGTGGACAAAAAGGGGAAAACAAAGCCCACGAGAGGGCAAAACAAGACTCTGACAAGGTGACTGACTAGACAAGGTACTGACAAAATTCTACTAGGTAAACGACTGACACGAGCAATGGATAAACAGGACAAATACTCTTGACAGGTACTCACAAACTTGGCACGGATAACATTTGGCAACATATGGCAATGAACCGACACAGGACAGCAAACACAAGGGGATTAAATATGGAACACTAATGACGAGGACAGGTGAGACTGACTAGACAATAATGACGAGACGAGGATAACAAGGGGGCGGAGTAAAGAAACGAGACAACACAAGCACACGGCCCAAACAGGCCATGCACTTGCACACAAAACATGATTCTGTCATGATCCTGCCTCACGACTAGAGAAAATCAAAGACAAGAAGGCAGAATCATGACAGAACCCCCACCTTAAGGAGCGGCTTCCAGATGCTCCTCAAGGGGACATTAAACAGGGGACATGACAGACTGTGACAAAGACAAAAACCAACAGTACATGGTAAAAACTAACAAAGGCAAACAACAATACACAATGACAGGGTTGGGGTGGAACATCAAAAACAACATACAAGGCAGAGGTGGTGGAGGAAACACAAAGTTCATGGGGGGTCGACCAGGGTGGAGGAGAGTGCTGGGGGTCTTAGGTCCATGGGATGAGGGCGGAGAACGAGGAATCCGGGCAGGCTTGGAGGGGGACACACGAGGAGGGTACTTGGGCGAAACAGAACTGAGTTTAGTGGCGACAGGGGAAACAGTCCGGGGACTTGTGGAGACAGGGACAAACGGGGAAACAGTCCGGGAATTAGTGGAGACAGGGGTGACCGGGAAAACAGACTGGGGTACTGCATTTGTGGCAGCAGCAACAAACTCAGAGGACTCAGAGGATGGGGAAACAGGACTCCTGACGGGGGACATGGCAGGCGAAAGGACAGGACTGGGTGCAGCGCTCTCTGTGGCGGGCGCGGGTGCTGCGCTCTCGGCGGCTGGCGCGGGTTTGGCGCTCTCGGCGGCTGTAGACACGGGACAAGACAACATGCCAGATCTGGCTGGAACTTCCAGAATCTTGGCTAGACTCGACAGGTACTTGGACAAAGTTCTTGCCGCAACGGCAATAGGCAACTCCTGATCTGCTGACACTGACTGCAAAACAGCCTCAGCAGCCGAATCAGCTGCAGTCCTCTCAGCGGCGCTCACGACAGCAGGCTCGGGAACGGTGTCTTCAGCAGCGGGTTCAGGGACAGCGCTTACAGCAGCGGGCTCTGGGACAGCACTTACAGCAGCGGGCTCTGGGACAGGCGGAGATGAAGGACGAGAGGCTCCCCTCCTCCTCCTCTTCTTCCTAGGCCGTGGCACGGACGTAGTAGACGGACCCTTGACCGGTTGGAGAAGCTCAATTTGCCTTATTCACTTCGAACGTTCCACCCGCCTGAGGGGTACACTTCCCACTCCCGGTAGTTCTCAGAGCGCGATTTCTCTCAGTGCAATGGCGCCTCACTGCTGTGTTCCCCAATGCACTTCATCACACAGGAAAAAATCGAACAGAGGACAAACGTTTCACCGTTTCGCCAAAGATCAGGGACTACGTCGACAGTGGATAATAAACATCAGAAGGGATCCTGGTCGTAATTTTAAGGTAAGTTTTATTATATGTCTGGTGCTGTAAGGCCGAACGGTCTCCCAGCTAGCTAGGCTAGAACTAGCACGTTTTAGAAGATAGATTATATCAGAGAGCCAGGTTGTTGAAATATACAGCCTAGTCCAAAATTACATCATGACTTTTGCGTAAACATTCATGCCACTTTCAAGTCAAGTGGCATGTTATCTATACGCATTTTGAGCCATCCGCGAGTATGTACATGTCCAAGCGAAACGAAGCAAAATCTAGATCTAACGTTACATCTGGGGAGCGATATTTTTTCGTAGGATGGTAGGGGGAGACTCATAATTGGTATTAACCCCAGTGACGGGTAGGTTAGGGACGGAGTTGGAGTAGGTCATATATTTAACTTATATATATACAGTAATGTAACGTGAAGTCAAACGGCGTTCATAAAAGAGATTATGTGTTGATACTGATAGCACGCCAAAAATGGAAATACGAATTGCCGTCTCATATACATGCCATTTCATGAGATCAGTCTGAAAATTAGTAGTATGTTATTAAAATCTACCACCACAGATTCACTAGTTCAAGAATATTCTGAGTGACCTTGTTTGTATTAGCTTTAGCCAAGCTAACCTAGGGAACACATCAGGATGGTGTACAGGAGTCAGATTGAGTCTGATCAATACAATTATATAAAAAAAATGTGTGTGAAAATGTTTATATGATTGCATTTTATTTGCTGATGCAGATAAACACGTACACAAAAGTGTGCTCGGAGCATTTCCTCCCAGACTGCCTTGTGAAAAGCAAGACTGGCATCACCAAGTTGAAACAGGGAGCTGTTCCAACTGTGTTTGCATGGAGTTCTGTCAGACCAGAGAGGAGGAGTGTTGTTAGAACTGCAAGGTAGTATTTAGATTAAGTGACTAGTTTGTAATGCATTTATTAACTGTGTAGTGACCCTATTTCTCTGTTGATGATTTCCAGTAATGTTTCCACGGATCTCACTGATCAACATGATGTGAATGTGTTGAGGTACGTAAAATATGTAATTGGTTACATGAATTGAGCATGAGCATCATTGTAAAACAGCTAATGTGTCCATCAATATGTTTCTCTTATACCTCCAGTGAAGAGACACCCCCTCTGCACCCAGGCCATGAATATGCTGCACTGCCTCCCTCACTTCAAGATCAACTTGAGGAAGCCCGAAAGACCATCAGCGATCAAGAACTTTTAATTTTAGAGCTTCAACAAAAACAGTTTTTGATTTCAAATTTTCAAGGTGACGATAAACTGATTTCATTTTATACAGGGTTCCCAGATTACGCTACATTTAAAGCTGTGTTTATGGCCCTGCAGAAAATATGGTGGGATGGAGTCAGGCTCAGCGACTTAAACACACAAGTGGGGAGGTACTTCGTCAAGGCTTTGGCGCCTCTAAATTGTCCACTATGGACCAGTTTTTTCTTTTTCTTTTTAGGTTGAGGCAGGGACTTCCTGAGCAGGATCTTGCAACCCGTTTCCATGTATCACAGTCAACAGTAAGCAGGATCTGTGTGACCTGGGTCAATTTTTTGTATTTTATGTTGGGATCACTTCCAATTTGGCCTTCAAGGAAAACTGTGGATGAACTTATGCCAGATTGTTTTAAACACACGTTCCCGGCTACTATAGTTATATTATATAGTTATATTGGATTGTACAGAAATTCATGTACAGAAACCTAGCTCCAAAGTCCTTAACTCAGCGATTTATTCACATTACAAAGGTAACACCACATTTGAGGGCCTAGTAGGCATTGCCCCCTCAGGTGAAGTGACTTTTGTCAGTGATTTATATACAGGTTCAATATCTGACAAAGAAATCACCAAAAAATCAGGTATCCTTTCTTTTCTCAAAGAAGGAGATATGGTAATGGCCGATAAAGGCTTTCTCATCAAGGACCTTCTCTCTAAAAGACAGGTCTCCCTTGTAATCCCTCCTTTTTTAGGCCCAAGTGGACACTTCACTGCAGACAAAGTACGAAAGACTCAAGCGATAGCAAGACTGCGAATTCATGTAGAGCGCGCTATTAGGCGGATTAAAGAGTACCATATTTTTGATAAAGTCTTACCCATGACACTGGTGGGCTCCGTTAACCAACTGTGGTCCGTCTGTGCTCATTATTGCTCTTTACTAATCTGTTCAATGCCTTAACCATCATTATTGCTCTTTACGAATCTGTACAAAACCTTAACCATCATTATTGCTCTTTACGAATCTGTACAAAACCTTAACCATCATTATTGCTTACGAATCTGTACAAAACCTTAACCATCATTATTGCTTACGAATCTGTACAAAGCCTTAACCATCATTATTGTTCTTTATTAATCTATACAAATATGTGAACTTGTATTGTCACCATAGCACCTTATCATGGTCCGTGTATCACAGGATCAGTCCTTGTCAGACCTCGTGCTCTTTACTTTTAAAAGTCATTTGATTGTTTTATGTGTATGTATAATCTACTGGATGTGTATCTATCTAAAGAATAAAGTACAATTGTATTACATATGGATGATGTATTTCATAACTTTATAATTTAATATACCAGAACAGTTCAGAATATCAGAAAACATTAAAGAAACATTGATAGGCACAATGGTCTAGGTTTGTAAAGGTAACCATGTACATAGAAGTATGGAAAAGGAACCAGAACAGGTCAGAACATTAGAAATGACATTAGGGACAAACCATTTAAAAACATGAACAAAAGAGAACTATAAACAAAAACAGATTATCAGTGATGTATTACATGATTTTGTTACACAAAGAAGGCAGAAAATGAGAGAAAAAGAATGTGTCCAATTTACATTTCATGTTCTCCCACTCCTGTGGTTGGAAGTACACCCGCTCCAAGTGATGGTCATCACTGCACTTCACAAAAAAGTCACACCACTTCAACCCAGTGATACCCATCTTCCCCATCACTTGAAAATAGTATTCGTGTGTGGTCTTCAGGCTAAGGCTTCCATCAGCCTTGCAATGCAAATACGTACAATCCCTAACGCTCCCTTTGTTGGGGCACTTGATCTCCAGGAGGCCGTGTGTTGGTGAGGCACAGGGGTCAATCACTTTTCGGTCAGGTCAGGCACCTATGTGTGGGGCGTGGTGGTTGATGACGAACCCACAGGGGAAGATCTCATTGCCAGTGAGCTCTTGATATTCGGCCGCCGCAACAGGCTCCAGTTCCAAACCTCTCTTCATCACCTTAGTCTGCACTATTTTCTTTTTCAAGTTGGCAGCTAATACGCTGTAGTCTGCCACTCTTGAACAAATCCTCTTGAAGGAAGAGGAGGTAAGACGGTTAGCTCGAACTTTATGCCAGGTCTTGCTATGGCTCTGTTCCCTTGTCTCGATCTCCAGCTGTATTGCAACAGCCTGAGTGACCACCAGGCCACCATAGTAACACGACTCAGTGTCATCCAGGACAGTGTAAAATGAGCATGGCTGTGATGGTAAGGGAAACAGGGGATCATCATTAGCCCTGGAAGACTGTGTTGCGTGGTAAGTAAGCACAGATCCCTTTGGAAGGTCTCCAAAGTCGGTAGAGACAAGAGCAGCAGGCTGTTTTCTGTTCTCCTCCAGCAGCTTGAACATCTGACTCTTGCTTTCTATTTGACTCAGGTTTCGGTGTAGGTTCTCTGCAAAGGCATTTGATGGAAGCGGGAGTGGCACAGGACAATACAGGTTTGACATCACCCCTTTAGACGAGCGTTGCCTCTTTGGCGGAGGTGCGTTGGTCACCGGTGGTTTTAGCTTTGAAACATTCACAGAGCTCACCGTTCTTGGACTGACACCCAGGGCCCTCCATGGAACGTGCCAGGCTTGAGGCAGTGATGTCTTGCTCGTTGTTGGGGGGACAGAAGTATAGCCCATCTTGGCAAAGTGAGCGAGAGTGTAGAGCAGCCCGATAAGATGGTTGCACTGTCCCAAGCCAGCTTTGCAGTTGCACTGCGTCTCCCTTATAAAGGGCTGCTCAAGTGACAGCTCCACCTGAAAAGATAATCAAACTTTAGACACTTGACACTTCAGGGTTGCTATTAAAACATATATGGCATATATGTGTGTGTTAAATCATATATACACACACATACATATGCATACACACACACACACATACATACATATATATATATATATATATATATATATATATGTATGTGTGTATGTGTGTGTGTAATTGTAAAAATGATCAGTCTAATGATCAGTGCCATCTGAAATTTTCTTCTAGAATGATAATTTTTATCAAGCTTGTATATTTAAGTTTAAGTCAAGTCATTTAACTTAAATTACAATTAATAGGTAAATCTCACTGCCAGTTAGGTGAAATTACTGAACTTAAATATACAAGCTTGATAAAAAAATAATCATTCTAGAGGAAATTTTCAGATGGCACTTAGAGGTTTTTGCATCTGAACTCTTCATATATATATACACACACACACACTCACACACACACACACACACACACAAAACGCAGCCACCGAATCCACCGAACGCAGTCACCTGTAATAAAAATTGAGAAGAAGCTTTTCAACGTGTTTGCATCAGTAACGTTCATTTCTAAAAATTAAATTCGGACAACATTAAGCCTATCTTTTTTATTGTATGTGGATGTAGGAGGGGAAAATGTCGAGACTAAAGCCCTATTCAGATTAAGGATAGATGTGGTAAGTTAATTTAATTTTACCACAGGAGTTCTGTAATATGAATAGCCAAATCGCATGTGGTAAGATATAGGTTATCAAACTAGAAGTTGGAGAGGTAACTCAATTTGCGCATCGCTGTCATGCGTGTATTACGTTGCTTCCTGATGTGCGCAAACACAAATAACCTATACAACAGGGCAGCTGAATGCTTATCTGACAAGGAGCGAGAGGAATCATTCAGCTGCAAACACGAGTAAGTAATATAATTCATTTATTGTTCTAGAGTTGTTTGATGTTTAAATTGTCAATATAAAAATTGCGTTTAATACATAGATGTTTGCACTGAAGTAACGTTAACTCAGAATCCCCATTCAGTCCCGGAGGGAGTGTTGATGAGAAGGCCTAACGGTCCCTTTTATAGGATGATTGTACTTTTTTATTAGAAAAACTGCTGTGCTGTATCCAGTGCACTGTAATGTTGGCTAATGAAATGATATCGAGTTATATTTAATATTGTTTGCAAAAATGAATCAGTCAATTCGTCTTTTTCAACAAGTGATTAGTTATCGAATCATAGGAGTCGGACTACGCTTTCGGCGCCATAGGTCTCTATACAGATGCTTTTGCATCTGAACTCTTCAAATACTGTAACAAATGTATTGGTCAATGTTAATGTTACTGTAGTTCCATTAACTAGCCTAATTTTAACAAATGAGAGCTTATTATAATGTGTTACCAATATTTTAAACTGCTGCGTGAACTCTGGCAACAACATTTGTCAAACATATGTGCTTAAACTAATGCTTAAGATTTAATATTGACCTCACAATATGTATTCCTTTATTTAAAAGATGCAGTTCAGAGAAACCCTCATGGCTAATGTTGCTGAAATGGAGATTGAGGGATCCACACTCTTAAAATGGATGTGTTAAAAACAACACAACCTGTGTTATATCTTAACACACCTGTGTGTCTAGTTAAGGACAACACATTTTGTGTTACTTTTAACTCAACCAGTGTGTTATTGTTCTTAACACAGGGAGTGTGATTTCACTAAGTTTGCACTTTGAATTAGATTAAAATGTAGCAACTGACAAAATATTGTGTGTAAATAAGTTTTATTTACACTGGTGCACTCTTATAAAATGATTTTGTAAATAACACAACCTGTAAAAAGAGATGTTAAAAATGACACATGCTGTGTAGATTTTAACACATGTAGTGTGTGTGCTCAGGGACAACACATTTTGTGTAGATTTTAACACATGTTGTGTAGATTTTAACCCGTTTTGTAGATTTTAACACATGTAGTGTGTTTGCTCAAGGACAACACATGTTGTGTCAAATTTAACACACAACCTGTGTCGTTTCTTTACACATCTCTGTGTTTATAAGGATTACACATTTTGTGTTACGTTTAACACAACTAATGTGTTAGACAGCAGTGTGTTGTTGAAACCTTTTACACACTAATGTGTTATAGTAACACAACTTGTGTCAGATATGCGTCACATGTGACT